ATTTTTTTTTTCGGCTAGATTTTTAAATTTTTTAAACACAATTTTAAGGACAAAATTATTAGCCCTTTTAAGCATTTTTTTTTTTTCGATAGTCTAGCCTAATTAACCTGGCTAGTTAACAGTTAAGGCTTTAAATATCACTTTAAGCTGTATAGAGGTGTCTTTAAAAACCTCTAGTAAAATATTATTTACTGTCATGGCAAAGATAAAATAAATTAGTTATTAGAAATGAGTTAAAACTATTATGTTTAGAAATGTGTTGAAAAAAATCGGCTCTTCTTTGAACAGAAATTGAGGGAAAAATAAACAGGGGGTTAATAATTCTCACTTCAACTGTAAATTATTTTAAGTGCTTTTTTTGAGACTATCTATTAATTATTCCTGTCTTTTGTTTGTTGTATTTGGATTATTGTAAAGGAGACACAAGTTCTGCTTGGGGATTCTGAGGCTTTACAGTGGACCACATTGATTTCTTCTCGCTTTCCAGCAGCTTTCGTGCTTTTGTGGTGTCAAAAGCTTAAAACACATAGAGAAATACTCCTTTTCTAGACACAATACGTGCTTGGTTCCAATTCCATGGCGAACCCTGTGGGACTTCCACTGAGAAGTAAAAACAGAATCCAAAAAAAAAAAAAAAAACAATACTTCCTCTCCTCATTCTCAATACAAACATCCTTCAACCATACCCAGCATACAGAAATGAGCTAAATATGTCTTGTGCAGATTCAGACGATCAATTTAACTTTCAGAAAAATACATAGTGGAGTATTCAGTCAGTCAACTAAATCACATTCTCATCATAATAAACTGGCATTTTTGTATCAGCTAGAGCAGGGATGTCCAAATATTTTTCTTATAAAGGGTCAAAAACTAAACTTGACTGAGGCTGGGGGTTTGGGGTGGAGAAGTAAATATAGTGGCCATGTGTACTTTTGTTATTTATTTAATAATATTTAAAAATAACTAGAAAACACAGCTTTATATTAACTAATATAATTTTTTACACTACATTTTTAATGAACTTATTACAGTAAAAAACATCTCTTTTACAGTATAACAGAATGGAGTTACACTAGCTTTTGCCTTGATTTGCTCGCTGATGTCTTATTTAAAATCCTTTATCCATCAAGTGACAGTATTTACATCTTAAAAAACTCTCTTAATTTACATTTAATTTCAGTTGTTTTTTGTTTTTTGTTTTTTTGTAGCTCAGCAATAAAACAAACAAACAATGCTACGTCAAATTAGAAATGACGATATCTGTTAAAGGTATTCTCCCCATCTCTCTCCATCCTTTTCACTCTCTTCTCAGATGGGATGGTGGGCCAAATCTAAAATTACAATAGGCCAACTTTGACCCGCAGGCCCTACTTTGGGCATCTCTAAGCTAGAGAGAGAAATAAGTGTGGTGTTTATTTTTGGAAAAGTGATTGTACAGTTTATGCTGAACACCTAGATGTAACCCTTATACCATCATTTAAAACCCATCTCCTCATTTATGTTAAAAAGTTAGCAATTTTCTTTAAATGCCTCAATGTGTGTGTCAAATATTTATTCTAGAATTAAATAACAATTATTAGAGGATGTCAGTTTTTTGTGTGATAAAAAGTGTTTAAGGTCACTAGCGACCTGAGGTATGTATTGGTGTAAGTAAATTTTCTATGTGCAACTGTAATATCTGCAATGTTGCATATTAGAAAAATAAGGCCAGGTCACTAAATACCTCTTGCAATTAATTTGGGGCTGCACAATATATTGTTTCATCATCGATATCGCAATGTGATCATTCGCAATAGTCACATTGCAGGATTTGTTTGCAATGTTGCAATGTTGAGTTTGTATTCTAATTAATCATTTGCATATGTTTTTGATGCCTGTGACTGTATAGTTACTTTAAAAACATGCATGTATAAGAAATTGTACAATTTGTGACCTTTACTATAATTCATTTTATTAAATTATTTTTATTTTTATCATTGAGTTGCTGTACTTGAATACTGTTAGACTCGGGAAATTATAAACTGCATCTTTTTCTTGATTGTTTTAGAGATTATTATGGATGAAAATACTTTCAACACATGCAAATACAGAAATGCACTGAAAATAGCACAGACCACGAAGTAAATGTGTCTGGGGACCCCAAAAAGTTTCTAGGTTGTTTATTAGAGTTTATGGAGATGCACTTCCACTGCAAAATCATCCCAATTGATTTAACATTATAAATTCTTTCCAAATAAAGATATGAGGTCAATTTATGGTAAAAATTGTATTCATATCGCAATATATATAGCAAAATAAAACACATTGCAATGTTAGATTTTTCCAGTACCATGCAGCCCTACCTTAATTATTATACTGCATTTCATTGCATTGTACTTGTACATGTGTAATGACAATAAAGTTGAATCTAATCTAATCTAATCTAATAAAATGTATTAAATGTGTGTCAGAGTGGTCTGTTTCTTCTATATTCTGGGTGCACAAACTCAAGAACTCAACCTGGGTTAATTTGGGATACATTAAACAAATAAGAATATCCTAAATAATTTAAAAAATAAATAATACATATGCAAAAACCTTTCCACATGCACCTGCCTACTTTATTAGTTCCTTATTAATTCCTTATTTTATGTAATAAGTGTTGCTTAAGTGTATGTGGCAACACTTCAATAACACATTCTCAGAATCAGCCATTATGTATTGTGAGGTTGTTGTTTTTTTCGAAGTTGAACACATGGCATTTTTCCACCACAAGTGTGAAATATTTGTCTTTATACTCCTTAATTGAAGTCTAATAACTTGCTTTTTTAAACCCTTCTATTTTCCAAGCCAGCTGTCATATTCAGTATATAGACAATTTAGAAAAATTCAATCAACTCCTGATGATTAAATGTTGCTTAAACTGCTTCACTTAGTGAAATGTCATGTTAAAGAAGTCGACTAGCTAGTGAACATCATTTTTAATGAAGTCTCTTTATGTTTGTAGCAAGTAGGGGTGTGTGAAACTAAATTGTAATGATTCATAAGGTACAGTTTAGTAATGAATTACAGTAAGTCTCATTAGTAAATGTTAGGTAATGCATTAACATTGAAAAATATATACATTTCCTGTAGAAGTTAAAGTAAGTTTAAAAAAAAAGATATAACAAATATTAGCTCCATTAAAGATACAGTTATGTAAATGAAAATCACCTCACAATTTTCTCTCCCTCCTGTGGTTTAAACTTTTATGGTTTCTTTTTTCTGTTAAACACAAAAGAAGATATTTTGACCATTGACCTCCTGTATAGAAAATAAATATATATATACTATGGAAGTCAGTGGGTGTCAGCTAACAGCATTCTTCGAAATATCTTGTTTTGTGTTCATTAGAAGAAAGAAACTCACAGGTTTTGAACAGCTGAAGCGTGAGTAAATTACCTAGGTAAATTACCTTATTATCACATTATGATGAATTATTGAACATTAACACTTGTAACTCAGTTTTGTGTTCTTGTTAGTTGAATTTTATATGTGAAAGAATGTCCATATATTATACCAATGTAGCAAATGCACTCTCAAGATGTGTTATTGTTTTGTTTTGTTTTTTTTACAAAGTGAGCAAAAATCTATAAAACAATACCAAAAATAAATAAATAAATAAATAAATAAATAAATAAATAAATAAATAAATAAATAAATAAATAAATAGAAGAAGAATGTATGGTTGTAACAAGTAGGGGTGTGTGAAGCAAAAAAAAAAAAAACTGCAAAAGGTTTTATAAGGTACAATTTAGAAATGAGGCACTGTAAGTCTATTAGTCCGTTAGAGGTATAGTTCATTTTTAAATGAAAATTCCCTCACCATTTATTTTCCCTCATGTGGTTTTAAACCTTCATGAGTTTCTTTCTTCTCCTGAACACTGCTAAAGACACTCCCACAGTAGGAAAAACATTAGTATAGTAGTCAGTGGTTCCCAGCTAACAGCATTCTTTAAAACATCTTATTTCGTGTTCAACAGAAGAAAGAAACTCAAATAAGTTTGAAGGGTGAGTTACTTTTGTATTCACTTAATAGTTTTATATAACCTAGTGTTAATCGAAGTTACTGCATCATTTTTGTTTGAACTTATGTTCCAAAATTCTCGTACTGTTCATAAGTTCATAAGTCTCTCTAGTTTGCTTACAGGATGTTTTTCGCATCAAATGTTCCGCTTGAGTTTACTTTTTGTAAACTTCCATGGAACAAACATTGGAACAAATTTCATATATTCGTGGCAAATGTGACACACATTAAACGTCATTTTCTGATATTTGCCTGTATTCAAACGTTTGAAATTGAATTTGTACGTAATTTATTTGCACATATTTGTTCTGAACCTAATATAAATCTTATAAATCTTCAAGCATTTGTTGTGGTGATAAACAACAATCTGAATATTTTTAAAGCATTCTGAAATTTTAAACCACTCACACTGAAAAAAAAAACAACTGGATTTGTTATTTTTTTAAGGTTATATGGGTTGTATTAAACAAACCAATGAAAGTGAACATCAGTAAAGTTTTATTTGTTTTTTTAAATTCAGCGTTTTAGTTTGCAACCACTTACATAAAAAAAAATTGATTGTAAATCCAATGAATCTTTTTTTTCATGCATAATTATTCACAGTATTTTGAAGAGCCAATAATAACAATATCATGCATGTTTATTATCAGAATATAATTTTTTATAAAGTTTTGCATTCTTGTTAGTTGAACTCTACAGTATATGTGATAGAATTGTCCTATATCATACCTTATACAATATAGTGAAAGCACTCTCAAGATGTATTATTGTTTGTTTGTTTTTGTTTTTTTGCAAAGTATGCAACATGCTTTATAATGTGAGCTTGCACAGAGAACAAAACAAATACGGGTCAGCTTTTTGTAGATTTGAACTCTATCAACTGTTACCAGAACTGTAGTAAAGCAGTGATTTTTGAATCAAACTAAGCCCATCATCTTTTTGCTGTTCCTTACAGAGTGAAGAGCGAGAAACCACAGTGAGGACTCCATACATTCGGGATTGGATGTGAGTTGACTTTGACCATACCAAAGCGAAGATGAAGTTGCTATGGAAACTGTTGGTTCTGCAGTCGTTCCTGGGGTGCCTTGCAGGTAAAAGTATCTTATTAAGAACTTTTGATGCATTCATGGCAGCTCCCCTTTAAGATTTAGTTCTTTTTTCCACCATATTTTTGTGTAAATAGGCCAGGGGACTGTGACAGAGATCGCAGCCAAACTCCTATGCAATTTATGTTAGCGAATAATAGGCTTGATCATTAAAAAGGGGGAAAGAAATGTGTGCTACTGTGGTTTTGGTTAACAGGAGAGCGATTGTTAAAGTAAATATCAAGATCCGGCGGACAGTTCCGAGGGGAAGAGCTGTCGGCTGTTTGCTTGCTTAATAGTTTTGAATATAAATCAGGCGATCAGCTTGCAAGATAGGATACTAAGATGAAAAATATTAATTTGAATGTACCGATAGCTAAGAATGTGAGATTTAATCAAGAAGGGGGAATCTTTATTCTTTGGCAGACTGATATAATTTATAGCGGTCTGAAATTAAATTCTTGGGGACGCAGCTGACCCAGAGGTGATCTGTACTGCACAATTGAAAATGACTTGTTACAAAAAGCCAATTACTGAGTGTTCCAATCTGAGAGGAAGTGTGCTAGTGGGCTCTTGTCTTATTGGTGTGTTAGATCTAGGCTGATTTAATTGACTGATTGACTGATGCCTGGCTGATTGTTGGAGTTTCGTGTCATTTACAGCTCTGTGTGTGTGAGAGTGTGTACACTTGCGTGTGGACTTTTTCAAAATGTAAATTAAATGTTGTCATAAGCAAGGTGCAAATTACACATTTACACATTTATAGAGGTTTATGTTGTAAAGAGCACCTATTTTGCATTATAAAGGTCATATTTGGGTTTTGGGGGTCTCCAACAACTGATATGCATGCAAAGTCAAAACACACTTTCATTGTCTTATAATATGCATTTATTTTTATCTAATTATCCCAACGACTCCTATATGATTTGTTCAGTGATTAATTTCTTCACTTTGCGTGAGGCTAACTGCTGTGATTGGTCTGATGACCCAGTCTGTTATAATTGGTCAACTAGGATGAGCACAAAATAGAGAGAAATGCCCACCATGGCTCTAAAGTAGCAGAGAGCCCAATGCAGGAATGCAAAAAAGCAATGCAGTTATGCCCCATTCACACGGGGGCTTCAACATCAATGCTTCCCATTCACATTGAATGGGTGAAGTCAGGCATTGCCGAACTGCATTGTGGATCCGTTGACACTGCTTCAGAGGTGTTGCTCACTGCAGAAGTAACTTTTCAAATGACGCAAGCGTCAGCCAATCAGATTGCTGTTTGCAAATACACCAGCTCCAGACAGTAGCCGATTGCTGACTACTTTCATTGGCTGACACTCTTATAATGATCGCGTCAGCCCCAACTTCAGACACGACTTCTGTCAAGCATTGACGCTGAAGCCCCGTGTGAATTGGGCATTAGACACCAGCATATTACTTAACATTTAACACTAACCACAAGTAATAACAACGACAAACATTCAGCATTAATCCACACAGTGGCAAAAGTTTTGAAAACTGACTGCGCCGTGTGTGTATGAAAACCTGATGGTGGCCATAGCAAAGACAAACATCAGAGAAACACGAGTTCAGAAACGCATTTAAATGGGTAACGGAAGAAGCACTCGTCATGTTTTCAACGTGGTTTGTATGTGAATATGTGTACGTGAATATCAATATGTGATTAGCCCCAAACAGATTTAAACTGAGAGATGCAGTACAAGCACTGATCTATAATAGATACATGATTACAAGACCCATGAATCAATTACAACACACAATTAAACACATATGTTGTTTTAATTACACTTACATGTTATGATCCGGAGGAAGAAGAAACTGGCCCAAATGAGCTGTAACAGCTGTAGTCCCTGTCAAAGTCTGACCAAATCCCACACATAATAGTCTCTGCTGCTCCTTTCTTTAATAGCAAATCTCAAGTAGATTATTGTATCAAAAATCTGAAAAATGACTGGAACAAACACAGCACTAGTTTGACTGTACTGTGGTATTGTTGTGAACATGAACTTTAACCCTTTATTCCCCACAGCCGAACCTCTATCTGTCGCTGATCGTGATCTTCGCGTCATGATCAGTTCCATGATCCCCCGTGCTCCACTAGTGTCTGAAGGGAAAGACGCATTCACCTTTTACCAGATCCAGTACAACATATTTGGGGATGTGCCTGTTGATGTCGATGCCTTCAGACAAAAGATCCGAACCCAACATGATTAATTTATTCTATTCTGAGTCGACTATTTTTTTTTTTATGCACATTCATTGTCTTACGCACTGCATAGAAGGTCATTTTCAAAAACCCATAATAGGGGCTCTTTAAATTAGAATAGGGAAAATTCTCAATAGAAGGGCATCTGCTGCATAAAACATATGCTGGAACAGTTGGCGGTTCCTTCCACTGTGGCGACCCCTGATAAATAAGGGACTGAGCCAAAGGAAAGAAAATAAATGAATGAAAATTGTCCATAATGTTTGTTAAAGAAATATAGGCCCTATCTGTAATGTTTGAATGAATGAATGAATGAATGAATGAATGAATGAATGAATGAATGAATGAATGAATGAATGAAAGAATGAATGAATGAAAAGTGTAGAAAAGTGATTGAAATGCATGAAAGTGTTAGAAAAATACAGAAATGATAGAAAAAAAGAACAAATAAAACTAGATATATGATTAGGCAGATGGCATCATTACCCAAAGTACTAGTCAATTAAATTCTTTAAAAAAGTTAAATAACAGAGAGAGTTGAGCATGTGAAATGGAAACGCACAATCTGATTACGATTAATGTAAAAGAGACCTCGGGTAAAAGAAGAAAGTATTAATAAAGATAATAGCCACCTTAATTGTTCCTTAACGAAATATGTAATAAATTCATATGAGATATGAGTTTTGAATGCACGCACATCACCATTTCTACCTCCTTCTGCATTAATTAACAACAGTGACTTTAGAGATAGATGAGAGGGCTGTTTTAATTCCTCAGAGGCTTCATTTTCTCAGTAAAGACACTGCGAGAGGGAAGGATCATTGACTTTAGTGGTTCTGCATGGTATGAACTTTATAGGTTGTTAACTAGTTGTTGACTAAAATGACACTGGGGAACAATATGTTTATAGTGTTTTCCTTAAATATTTCACTGTAGTTTTTAGAGTTAAAATTTGTTTCATACAATATGTATTTGACAACACTAAAAAAATGTATTTAGCAATGAATATTTTTAGTTGCTAAAGAAGCTGAATAAGTTTAAAATTAATTTTGTACACATTATTTTACTTATTTTATTTACTTTGTTTAAAATATGTCTATTTTATTATTTTGTTTTATGTTATTTTATTTTACATTTAATTTAATTTAATTTAATTTAATTTAATTTAATTTAATTTAATTTAATTTAATTTAATTTAATTTAATTTAATTTTTCCATCATTCAAACATTTTACTCTTATTCTGTTTGAAGTCTGTTTGTGACTAATTTATTTTATTTTGTAACTACTTTTATTTTATATTAAATTTTATTTTATTTTATTTATTATTTTAAATTTAATTTAATAAAAAAATTAATTAAATTTTTACATTTAATTTTATTTTATTTTATTTTATTTTCCAGCATTCATACAGTACTATCTCATTCTCTTTGATGTTCTTGGTGACTTTGATGAAGCTAAAACATAAGATGTGACTTATAATCCAAGTCATTCATTATTCTGAAATGTGGTAAAAGGTGATAACAGAGCGATTAGGTGTCTTTCCTACCACAAGCGTATATGCATATGTATGACTGCACTGAAAATACATTCGCAAGTAGCCTTACTTTCCATCTGCTGAAAGGAGCAGAATAAATCCCAAAATAATTTTCTCTGAACTTCACCTTTAATGTTGTCAAAATGTGCCAGTGTATTTGAAGGCTGAAGTTCCTTTTCAAAGGGAAATGAACTCGCCTCTCTCCAAACCAGACTTCAACTAACCTTTCCCCATAACAGCCGCTCTTTTCCATGCAATTACAGGAACTCTGACTGACATGTGGATGAGTAAATACTGACAGATTGTTCAATTACACCTGAACTGTTCCTTTAAAAGGGACATATCTAGAAAAGCTCACTTTTTCCTAGTTTCGGTGCTGTAATCACAACATTGGTGCATGTACCAACACAGAAAACTTGAAAAAGCACTTTAGCTTTGGGACTTCAGCTGTATCCAAAATCCATTATTTCTTGAATAGGTATTACATTTGAATTTATGAATAGCTGCATGAGATTTGCCGATTTTGTTGTTTCTTGGTTGTCAGAATAGTTTCTAAAGGCTCCGCCCTCTTCAGAAAAGCAGCAACTCATTTGCATTTAAAGAGATATCTCCAAATATGGGAAAATTTGACATCTGTGGGGTATTTCAGCCTGATCTCACAAGGAAACATAACTATTTTAGGTTGTGTCAGGGTAGTGGCTACTTCGTACGAATTCGTACAAGTTCAGCGATATGAAAAAGTATGATTTTAAAAAGGAGGCACCCAACCCCGTCATTGGGGGAAGAACAACTTGTACTAAATTGTATGAATGAGATCGTAGGAATTGATACGAATTAGCCAAAATGTTATAAATCACCATGAGATTGTGTTGGGTATTTTGTGTGGCGACTTTGCAGGCACATTCAGGCGACACTAGAGATTTGCATAGCATAATAGCTTCAGCGTAACCTATTCAGTTGCATTATCTCTGCACAATTGCTTGGAACAGAAAGGACAATGTGTTTGGTGGTACTTGACTGTCTTGCACTAGAGATCTTTGTTCTTGCCTTGTGTTTCCAGTTAGTGGTGGGTGGCACTGCTTGTTGTAGTGTTGTACTCCCTTTTAACTCCAAACTGACAGGAAAGGTCGTGCAACCTGCCGAACAGCAGAGACGAGGAAGGTTTGCCCCTGAAAAGACGAGTCTTGGCAGGGCGACTGCTCTGAATGCTGAGAGGGGACCGCAATGATCTCCATCCCCTGCTAGGCTTCTTT